AACAACTCAATACAGACTACCTGTGGTACTTCAATGGAGAACTAGGCAGCACTTCCCCTATATTTCCTCACTTTCCCAAATTCGAAACCGTACCATATAACAACATTAACAATATCAACATCCAATCCTATCCATTATATGCTTAACCTTGGTTGCCCTCTTTCGACCCTTCCGTAAAATTACTTAGCAATGAGGTACCCTTCGATTCACTTCAAGAAAATAAATGTTGCTGCTACCTTTCTTGAGAAACACAAATGTTTAGCTAAAGTAGTCTAAATTGGAAAGAAACATTGTTACTAGATCTCAAAAGGGAGAATCAACACTACTGCTATATTTGTATAGCACGTTGTTTCTATAAAGGTAAAGAATTATTGTTTCTATTAATTACTTAGATGCTGCACATCAAGGGTTACTAAAAAGAGAAAGAGGAGAAAAATCCTTCATTGCTTTCTACGTGTAGTTGCAGCCAACTTTTCATATGAACTCTTGTCTAATTAATTCAAGATATTACTGCATATATTTACTACTATCTAATAAGAGGGAAAGCAAGGAGCTCTCCATCAACATGCCTGCCTGGCAGAGGGGCATTTTTGATATTTCAACTGCTGCTGCCACATTCCTAATTTGCCACGTAGAAAGCACCGCTTCAAATTTTGTTACATCTCAATTTTATCTCCGCTGCTTTGCTTTCCTCTGCTTCTGTTTCTTCTTCTCCAGGTTTAGTGGTTTCACTTTCTTCACTATTTTTTCTTCTTCTGCAAAAAGATCAGATCTTTGGGGTTTTCGTTTGATATTTAATCTTAAAGTGATTAATATGCTCCGCTCTCCCTGTGTACATCCTCTTTGCTTCCACAACTGAGTTAGTTAGTTTGCACTTCCTACTATTCTTTGTCTTTATTTTATATTTTGTTGTACCGTGTGCTGGTTATTTTTTCGGGAAAAGGTTTAAAATTGATGTGATTTATGGATGTTGCTGTGTATTGTTCTTTTTATATGCTTTACCTAATTTTTTAACCTAATTTCTTTGGCTTTTTCCCATTGCTAAACCTAAAATTCAACTAATTATTGCGATGCTTTAGAAACAAAATAAGTATTCGAGCCAAGAGGCGGAACATACACTCGAAATATGAGCCAATATTTGGGAGCTTGTTTGGGTGAAATTCGTACATGCGCCTCAACGTAGAACTTTTTAAGTTGCTGGTAACATTATCCAACTGTATAAACTGTGTCTGGACCAGATTTCCAGTGAAATTTCCTACAATAAAATTAGCGTCATTCACCTGTTAAGGCTAATACAATTGGATACCCATAAACAATAAATAAGTCATTTCAGAAAAGCATAAGGGAATGAAAAAGGAGGAGGAAAACATATCAGTTATGTAATTTGTCATAAGTTATAGGTTGACATTTTAAATTAAATTAGCTGGAGTTATCGACAACATTGTTTATTGCAGAGGGTCCTCACAGATTTCAATAATACAACAACTTTCTTTCTTTTCCTCTCTTTTTTCATTTGGTACTGTTTGAGTGGTTAAGTGGCTCCTCCCCAGCATATTGATAAATCTTCAATTCAAAAAGGTTTGATTACTTGAAGTGAACATCATTAGGATAGTATAATGGAAAATACAATATAAATGTATGGTATAGGGAACCTTAGGATGATTGGCTATAGGGGTCCTTATAGTGCAGTCAGCAATAGATTAAGAATATACATAGGCTACACACCGTTCACTTGCTAACTCAAATGTAATTACCTATATTCAACTCGTAACAATCAAAAAAAGGAACAAAGAAATTAAAATTAATCTGAGGATACTTTTGTCATTTTAATACTTTCACAGCTAACACGTGGAGTTTCAATTTTAACGTGTGGAAGCACTGTTGGTTTCTAGGCTAAATCTAGAACAACCGTGAAGATATGGAACAAAGAAAAATCCAGAACATATGCGCTCTCCGTCTTTCCTCTTTTTGTCAAATTTGCACTTCAGTGTGTTTCCTTCCGTCAATTGTATTTTTCCGGTGGGTATCTATTCTACCATCTATTTGATTCATCTTAATCTCTCACACGATAAACATTAAGTTTGCTAATTCTCTTCTTTGTTACACTGTATAAGTTATTGGAGATGTTAAAAGTGTCAAATTTGTTGTTTCCCATGTTTATGCTTATTTCAGGTTCCTGTATATATTGTCGAGTGTATGCTTAGTGGCTTCATTCTCTTTAACCAGAGTTATGTCTTGGTTTTTCATCTCAATCTAACACTTCTGGGAGAATTAACACCCTATGTCTCCAATGCCATCTCCAAAACACATACTGCCTATCTCCTCTTGATCTTAAGTTTGGATTGTGTTTTCTTCCATCGATCTTATTTTCTGGTGGGCATCACTTCAAACATCTCTTTCATTCATCTTTATCTATATTTTTATTGAAGAATATCAATGGTTTTTGTTGTTTAGGTGTTTGACAAAATTATTCAATGTTATAAAAGGTTAAAATAGCAATGTTGAACATACTGGTATGCAAACTTTTTTGATGGATAGTCTAAATATTAAGTTTTTCTTATGTATGAAGAGGAAAGGGTATTGATATGCTTGCTCTGGGATTTCTCTACCAAGCTAAGTTTTGTTTAGTTTATGAAAAGAGTAGGTAGAAAGCCGAGATTTTTGTTCATTGACGAAAAACCATTTGGAGGTCATTCTGAGCTCATTGTCTTTTTTTATCAGAAAATGCGAATTCTGAGCTCACTGTGTAAAAGCATATAATGTGTCTTTACTTGCAACTATCCCAATGTGAAAGTGGAGTATGAATATATTGAAATGTTATAGGAGTAAGTGATACAGAACTGGAGCAGAGGGGAAATAACTTTCAAACAATTTACAAGTACAAGGTAGAAATAGTTTCCATGCTAAAATGAAATCCCCATCATAGTGGAAGCTTTCTTTGTACTCATACTTGCAATGTGTTTCATGGAATAACAGTCTTTCTCCAACTGGTTTGTAATTAATATTGAATTTCTCTCATGAATTTTATATCTATTTCTTTTTTGTTTTCTTTATTTGCTGCCTCATATTTGTAATATGGGATAGTTTGTTCTTGCAATTTTACGGATATCAATATGCAGGTTATATTGATAAAATGGAACAAAGACTTAGTATCAGTGAAATCACACCACTAACTACAGAATGGACTTGCAAAGTCCAGACTGTAGACAAATTTTGGCCGCGAGACAGCAGAGATCAGCGAGTTCGTTTTCAGACAATAATTATCCAGGATGAAAACGTAAGTCAGGTTACAACTATAATTGTAACATAACATCTTTTCACTTGTACTCTTCCAATAATTACTACATTATTGTTCTTAATAACATTGTAGGAGGAACAAATTTGTGTAATACTCTATGGTGACGACATTAGACGATGTGATAACTTGTTCAAACTCTTTGAGACGTATCTGATTTCAACTTCAAAAGTTAGAAATACGCAGCCTTATTCACTACATATCAGCTGGTTTGAATGGGTCATCGACAGATTCACTATTGTAGAGTTTATTCCAAAGAATAATGAAAATGAGGCACTGTTACCTCCTCCGTCGAGACTGAGTACATTTTCGTTCCTCGATCTTGAACAACAGCCTTGCGGTGTTGAATTTGTTATGTTTCAAATTACCCTATGCCTTATAACAACTTAATTGCTTGGAACTCATGGTTAATGCAAATATTTGTTTTCTGTTTATAACAATAGATCTATTAGCTGTGGTGGCAAACTGTGGGGCAATGCAATACACCACTGATCAGACTAAGAGATTTCAAGAGGCCATAGTTATGGACAACAAGTGAGTCATTTAATCTTCTATTACATAATAAAATCTCTAGCTGACACTTATAAATATAACAGGGAGAAACCTCTTTTCTTCACTATATGGGAAGACTTGGCAAGCAACGAAGGAACTGAGTTACTAAGACAAGTGAGGCAACTACAAGAATACCCAATTATTGTTGCGAAACGGATAGGTACCACAAAATACCATGGTGGTAAGCTTATGAAATTCCTGTTTCTACACATGGATAATGCTTCCCCATTGTTTATTAACAAAATTTGCATACACAGTTTCCCGTTTGGCAACAAGATACAACTCGACAATCTTAATCAATCCCTTGTATGTGCAAGCAACTAAATTACTGAATTGGTACAATATAAATTGTGCTTAAAATGTACCACATCATTCATTATTTAACTACTGTTACTTCTGTGAAAAAGCAATTGTCTCAGATTTTCCGTGCGAATTACAGGGCAAATGAGAACAAACAAATGCTAATCGAATACACAATGAAGAGTTCAACAGAATCAGCTTCATCACTTAATCTTGTAGCTGTTGACAATGAAATATTATCTGTTTCAACTATCGCTATGCAAACCTCCACTGTGAGTTCAAGAAAATACCAAAAACTGCCACACTGCACTACGCCGTTGCGTATGTTTTATACAATGTGGATAACTGTTCAATATGTTCTAATATTCTACTATTCGTGTTGCCTCACTTACAATATAGTTTAAACAATATTAGAGTATAAACTTCTGGAATAAACTCTTACATTAAAGTTATATATTGTTCGCTTCACAATTAAATTTATTCTGAAATGTTCTTTAAAAGTTTGATCACTATATCACATCCTATTTGTATCCTATGTCATCTTAATATTTGTGAAAGAGATCCTATGTCATGTTAATATTTGTGAAAGAGGCCGTTGATTCAAAGAAATCTATTCTAATATCAAGCAGAATAGTTTTCAACTTAGTTTTACAAAAAATTAGTTAACTAATTTTTACATTTATTGTCACAACACACTTCTCATGAGGTTTTACTAAATATGCAACTTTATATTATTTGATTGCTGAAAGTTATATGTAATTAACAATTGATGAGTTAGCAGGTTCCACTACTTATGTTATAAACATAAAGCTAACGACTTGTTTTATCATTTATATTTTGCAGGCGGAAATTTTTTACGTCGAAGAAGAAATTTCGCTACCTGACCATTTTCAACGATTTTATCTGCTAGGTTGTTCTGAATGTAATCATCTTGTTCGGAGCAAAATAAAAAAAGAGATTCAATGCATAAACTGCAGGCTGCAAGGAATGTTAATTCCAAGGTAACAACTGCTACTAATAAGATGATGCATTGACAATATTTGATATTGTGTGCCATCAATTGTACCTCAACTAAAATAATTTACAACATACCGCATGATAGGTGCTACTTTGAGGTGGAAATTACAGACGAAACTGACACAACTACAGCAACAGTGTCTGAAGGCTTGGGCGAAAGAATGTTGCCAATGAGAGCTGAACAAATATATGATATCGTCAGTGTTAAAGTACATACACATACAATGCTACAGTTGACATAAGCCAACAAAGCTAATATAATGCTCTCATGCTTAACACATAAACGTAAGCTTTGACATATCCATTATTTTTTACTATCTCTTTGTAGAACGAGTTATTCCCTGTTGCCCATATCAATCGACAACTTGCAGATAAACTGTTTAGAGTTCAGCTACAAAGGTCATCATCCAGAACACCAGACAAAAATGCAAGTTCTCTGGTCCTTTTATCATACACTGAAAAACCAATCATGTTTCTACCAGAAGAGTCAACATCTATGACTGATGCCGAGGGAACTATGGAAGAAGAGCCAATACTACTGAGTGATGTGAAAGGAACTAAGAAACGAAAAAGGGAACCAAGTACTCTACCAAAGCCACAATCAAGGTTTAGAAATTCAAATACCATATTTTACCATCTACCAATTTTCTTAAAATGAATATTTTATTTGTACAGTTTGTCGAGGCAGTGATGTCCGCTCAGATGGTATGTGATGTACAAAGATATTTTGACAGATCGTACTGATCATTTAACAAGGTTTAGATAGTTGGCCGCCTTAACAAAGTGTTCCACATTTTTTTGCGTAAATAGTTGTCGATAGTGTGTGTCTATGTTTGTGACAGCAATTGGTATTACTTTTTGGATATTGGAGCGGCCTCTAGATATTGTGTAGCGATATCTTATAATTAGGATGCATATACGTTTCCAAAAGTTTACTACGTTTATCACATAGTATTTTATTTTACACTACTGATGTCTACTCTTACTATTTAACAAAAGAATTACACATGTATCATTTACATATTTTTAATTTTAGTTCAGTTATAAAAATCCTTGACAGTGTTTAAACACAATTCTTACCACTAAAATATTGATAAATAAGATTTTTTCCTTAGTTGAAGTATTTATTACTGAGCATCGGTAAATACTTTAAAGTTTATGTTATACAAACTACGTCATTGTGCGACGGGCTATACATGGACAACGACACGCTAGACTATATTAAAAGTGGAAATAAACAGATAAGACAAGTGGTCACTTTTCCTTCCGATTTAGCTACCTTGATTTTTTATTTGTACAATATTTGTGTGTTTGTCAAAGCTATATTTTCAGACAGAAGCTAAAGGCCAAAGAGCGTCAACGCATCTTCTGATAACTTATGACGGAGTACAGGTAATGTCCAACAGATTGTCTTTTTCTCTGTCTTCCTTTTTCTTCATCCTCTTATTTCTTCTTTGTTTCAACTTTCAAGTGACTGATGAATTTGTTATCACTGTTTATGAGTTGGTTGACCTATTAAACATTGAAATCAAAGAAAATTTGAAATAGCATTCCTGATTCTCATAAGTAAATGAAATGATCTAAATCAATTGTATCAAATATGAAATAGCTACTAACTTTACAATAGTGTAGAATTTGAAAATATGAACAACAAGTGTTGATTAATAGACTAAATAAGAAAACATGATCCTTCCTTACTGAAACTCTATTCTTCTGCTTCCTTAGGCATTGTCGTGTTTCAGTACTGAATTTTTCTTCCTTTATTATATCTTCAGCTGTTATCTGGGACTTAGTGGTACTGCTCTACATTTGTAGCTCACAGATTTTTCGGTTTTGTTGATATGGTTAGCTCTTTACAAGAGTGGACTCTTGCTGAATATTTTGTATTTATGCGTGTATCTTCACTTGCAATTTTGATATTTATAAACTACTAAAACTGAATTTCCATTACCGAGTTTCCTAAATAGGTACAATTGATCTCTTTTAGCTTAATTAACTCTAGCTCTACTCCCGAGCATATTATTATTGGGCCCGTGCGCAGCACGGACGATCCTTACTAGTTACAAAATAAGAGAGAAGTGAGCTCTCAAATGATGCCATAAAATTATGGACCGTGGGGGTCCACCTAGCAAGCTATGCTCTTATCCTTTCAAATATGCCACTTACTACCCATTAAATGCATAGTCACTTTGTTACTTTTTCCCCATAGTGACAAGTGGAGATGTTGTCCCTCTCTAATTATCCAATTATAGCTTTATTTAATACTTTTATCTCCACTATTATCCAACATGTACTTAGAACATGTTAAACATGGTATAAATACTTATTACCTCAAGCATAATAGTATGTCGAGTACTTATGACGCAACTCGACGTGCAAAGGTACGAAATGTAACATCCTTCCCCCTTTAGAAAAATTCGTCCTCGAATGTTAAACTCTCAGAGATCTATAAACGTTTTGGCGGAGTCTCCTCTGTAACGGTACTACTACCAACCTGTCACACAGCAAACCTAATGATACAAATCCACACAGGGCCACAATCATCAATAACAACAATGGCCTCACACGAACAATGATAATAACTAACATAAGAATCCAGTAACATATACATACCTAAAGGATGTGATGTCTCAGTCTAATCCTCCTTTAGAAGCAGAAACAAGTGAGGATACCTAGACCTTATGTCTTCTTCAGCTTCCCATGTCATCACTTCCTTATTATTTTTTCTCTAAAGTACTTTAACTGAAGTTATGTCCTTAGTTCTCAATCTCCGAATATGTCTATCTAGTATAGCAATAGGAGCTTCCTCATATGATAGCTGCTCTGTGACCTGAACATCATCAACTGGCATGACTCTAGAAAGATCTCTGATATACTTACAGAGCATAGACACATGAAAGACTGGATGTACAAACTCTAAGTTGGAAGGCAAGTCTAACTCATACGCTACTTGGCCTACTCTACGTATGATCTTATAAGGTCCAATGTACCGAGGGCTAAGTTTGCCTTTCTTACTGAATCTCATAACGCCTTTAATAAGTGATACCTTTAAGAATACCCAATCGTCTACCTGAAACTCCAAGTCTCGTCGTCGATTATCTACATAAGACTTCTAATGACTCTGATTTGCTAATAACCTTTCCTGTATAAGCTTCATCTACCCAAATGCATGTTGTACCAACTCTTGTCCTACTAACTTAGTTTCCCCAACATCGAACAATCTGATAGGCAACCTACACTTTCATAGCGAACTCAATAAGCGGAAGATGATCATCCCAGCAACCCCTGAGGTCTATCACATATGCCCGTAACATATCCTTAAGTATCTGAATAGTACGCTCAGCTTGACCGTCTGTCTGGGGATGAAATATTGCGCTAAGATTTATTTGATTCCCCAATACTTTGTGGAAAGACCTCCAAAAATTAGCTGTAAAACGAGCACCTCTATCTGATATAATAGATATAGGGACACCATGAAGTCGTACTATATCCTTAATGTAAATCCTTGCATAATCCTCTACTGAATACGTAGTCCTAACAAGCAGAAAATGAGCTAATTTTATAAGTCTATCAATAATCACCTATATAGAATCGAACTTAAGCTGGGCACGAGGTAAGCCTATGATGAAATCCATATTAATTACTTCTTATTTCCAACTCGGAATCTCTATAGCCTGCAATCATCCACCGGGGTTTTGATGCTCAATCTTAACCTGCTGACAATTAGGGCACTAAGCAACAAACTCTGATATCCTTTTTCATTAAGTCCCACTAGTATATTTCCTTGATATCACGATACATCTTTGTTTCTCCTAGATGAATAGAATAATGAGAATAGTGAGTTTCTCCCATAACCTGCCAGCACAACCCTGCAACATTAGAAACACATAATCGACCTCGATATCTAAGGACTCCATCTCTAGTAATCTCAAATGGTGTCTTCTCCTTCTGAGGGGTTGTATCTCTGTAATGAACTAACATAGGAACCTTATACTAGTGTCCCTTCACTTCAGTTACTAAAGAGGATGTTGCTGTATCCGAAATAGTAACTCCGGTATCACCTGAATCCAGTAATTGAACTCCAAGACTAGCTAGCTGATGAATCTCATGGGCTATCTTACTCTTCTCTAGCGGTAAATATGACATGATACCCATAGATCTATGAATAAGGGTGTCTGCTACTACATTCGCCTTTCCTGGATAATATAAAATATCATTATCATAGTCTTTTAGTAGCTCCAACCATCGCCTATGACATAAATTCAGTTCCTTTTTCTTGAAGATATATTGAAGGCTCTTATGATCCGTATAAATATCAACATGAAAGTCATACAAATAGTGCCTCCACATCTTTAGTGCATGAATCTCCGTGGCTAACTCTAAATAGTGGGTTGCGTAATTCTTCTCGTGCTTTCTTAGTTATCTAGAAGCATAAGCGACAACCTTATCATGCTTCATCAATACACAACCCAATCCAATGCCCAAACAGTCACAATAGATAGCATAACTATTGGTTCCCTCTAGGAGTGTCAAAACCGGTGTTGAAGTCAATCTATCCTTCAATGCCTGGAAACTCCGCTCACAAGCATCAGTCCACTGAAACTTAGATGCCTTCTAAGTCAACTTTGTCAATGGTGCTAAAAGAGAAGAAAAGCTCTCTACAAATCGCTTGTAATAAACCTCCATCAGTGTTGTGGGTCTAGGCCAAGTCTTCAATGCCTCAATCTTTTGTGTATCAACCTGGATACCCTCACCTGAAATAATATGCCCAAGGAAAGCTACAGAATTCAACAAGAATTCACATTTAGATAATTTTGCGTACAACTTCCTTTTTTGTAGAACTGTGAGCACAGTACGCAAATTATCTATATGGTCAGCCTCTGAACGGGAATAAACCAAGATATCATCCATAAATACAATCACGAACATATCTAGAAAGGGTCTGAACACATGGTTCATCAAGTCCATGAATATTAATGGGGCATTAGACAAACCAAACAACATAACACGAAACTCGAAGTGCCCGTATCTTGTCCTGAATGATGTCTTCCGTATATCTTTCTCTTTAACCCTTACCCGAAGGTATCTAGACCTAAAGTATATCTTCGAGAAACACTTGGCCCCCTGCAACTGATCAAATAAATCATCAATCCTCGGGAGTGAGTACTTATTCTTGATCGTCACCTTATTCAACAGCCCGTAATCAATACACATCCGCAAAGAACCATCTTTCTTTCTCACAAATAACACAAGTGCTCCCCACGGTGATTTGCTGGGTCTGATAAAGCCTTTTTCAAGCAAATCCCTCAGTTGTTGTTTAAACTCTTTCAACTCTGCAGGGGCCATTCTATAAAGAGGAATAGATATCGACTGAGTTCTAGTAATATATCAATAAAAAAACTCAATCTCCCGCTCTGGCGGAAGACCTGGAAGCTTGTTAGAAAAAACATCAAGAAACTCATTAACCACAGGGATAGATTGAAGGGTCGGTGACTATGCTTTCACACTCTAGGACTGGCTCCCCTGGGAACTGGAACCGAACTGTCATGCTCCAAAACCGGGGAGCGCGACAGGCACTCAACCGAATGAACCCGTCCAAGCAAGCCTATTAGATTTTCTTCTACCCAAACTCATCCATTAATAAATAGGATACACATTTTTGTTAATTAGACAATAAGATGATCATGTCTGCAATACAAACTTCTTACCATAAGTTTCATCACTTTTAACGTCTCAAATGGACAAGTAATACAACCACAACATAACAT